ATATAAGTTGTAGTTTGTCTGTTCTTTTCTTGTTTCTTCAATCTATTTTCAATAATTACAAGTTTATCCAATAATAATTGGCGTATTCTTAAAAAATACTTGTTTTTAGTTTTTATGTCAATAGGTAACCCACAAAATACACTTGTCAAGTATTTTGAAATCCTATATTTAGTATTCATCATAGGCCGATCTGAATTTATCAAAAAAGGCCTTTCATATTTCTTTATTATATGTCGATCTATTATTGGTGACAATCGTCAACATATCTTTTTCTTTCTGTAATAAATTCACATGCAAAAGGATATAGAACTTTCCTTTTCTGGTGAAATATATCATATCAGCCCCTGTGTACCATTTCACTTTTTCTGGACAGAAAAAAGTATAGCTGATAAAAATTTCTTTATTCGACATCCTTTATCTGATTGGTGCACCGTATTTACGCCTTCTTTTGAAAAATTTCGCAAGAAAACAAAACTTTTATATCTTTAAAGAACTATTAAGCCCTTGTGAACTTGTTTGAACTGAAAAGAGTGATAATAAAAAGTGTGTTGTTTAAACCAAAGAACACTTTTGTTTTAATACTGAAGTGCTATTTTTCTAGTAATTTAACGAAAAAAAAGTNAAAAAAATGCATTTGCATTTTAAACACACCTCTTTTTTTTGAAAATTTTTTATATAATAAAAATGCTGATCATTTTATCATATAATACTAGAAAATTTCTGATTTTTTTGAATAAATGCAATTTATACTTATAAATAAACTCATATTATATATGTATTTTTGCCTCCTTCTTTATAACTTTACTTATTACTATGGCAAAAAGAATTTAAAACTTTATTTTTAACTTATACTGTACTATGGAATGCATTCAAATGCAAATACATTTAAATTTTAAACTCTAATTTCACTAATTATTTTTTTCTTCTTTTTGTAAGCTTCCACTTTAGACTAATGGATCAGGTAAGTTTTGAAATATTTTAAATATTTAAAAATTTTTTTTTTATAAAAGAATCAGTTTATTAACCATTTCTTTATTTTTTTTTTGTAAATTCTTTTTCAGATATTATTTTCTTTTTTATAAATTCTTTTTTTTTGAACTCTTATTAATATGTAAGTAAGTTTAAAGTATATTTCAAAATTTTATTTTTTATTAACCATTTTCTTTATTTTTTTTGTAGATTTTTATTATTGAATTGGTAAATAAGTTTTAAAGTACTAAAACTTTATTTTTTTTTATTGAAGAAATATTAAACTAACTATTTTTTTATTTTTTTTGTAAGTTTCTTTTTTGAACTCTTATTTTTAGGTTTTTCTTTGAATTTTATCAGATAGGTAGGTAAATTTCAAAATATTTTTAAAACTATTTTTTTATTAAAAAAAATAGTTGATTAACTATTTCTTTACTTTTTTATAGGGTTTTTTTTCAAACTTTATTAGATCAGGTAAGTTTCTTTTGAAACAATTTTTTTATTTAAAAAATGAGTTACTAACTATTTCTTCCTTTTTTTTGTAAATTTTCTTTAGATTTTTATTAGATTGAGTAAAAATGATGAATGGATAATGGATGGTGAACAGTGAATGGTATATATAAATAATAGATAGATATTATAGTAATTTTTAATAAAATAAATAATTAATTATAAAATTAAAATCAGCTAAATATATAAAATCAGTAATAATTAAGTTTATTAATAATCGTTAATTTGATTTTACCAATTTTTACTGATCAATTGTTAATAAATAGCAGATAAACTGTACAAATCATCTATAATAATTTTGACAATTTTTTTGGCAATAATCAGCCAAATTTAGACTAACTTTTGTCCAACATTTGTTAATTTGAAATGGAATATAATATATGTAGATAATTGTTCCATTTTTTAGTTTAATTTATTTTGTTATTTTTTTTCAATTTTGATTTATTTATAATAATATATACTAATTAATTACTGGTAAAATAAAAATAAAAATAAAATAAATAAAAAATAAAATAAATAAGAATTAAGAAAGGAGTTAATAAACTTTTAAAAATAAATAAATATAACAATATACAAAAAGAATAAAGAATTAAGAGTTTAAATAAAAGAATAAATCAAAAGAAATAAAATAAATATAATTTAAAAAAAAAATAAACTGATAACTTTATTTTTTTGAGATAAGCTTTAATAAATGAGCTCTATCAAATTACTGGTAAAAGAAATTTTATGTAAAAAATTATAAGTATTTGAAATTGCATGATTTTAGCTTAATGCTAATGTTATTTCATACAAGTACATAATTCCAAAACTTGGCCAGTTTGTATATTAATATCATACACCCCTACTAGTCAGAACATATGGTAATTCAGGTTAATTAATAATTCCAATCATAATCTGAATCAAATGTAATTTTTTTTAAAAAAAATTTTTATTAATTTATGACTTTTATAAAATAGTAGCTGCTAAAATCCACTTTTTCTTATGTTTTATCTTGTTTGTTTTCAAAAACTGCATTTTATTATACTTTACACAAGAAATCCCAGTTTTTTATTGGCTGAATTTCAGATTACATGATATAAATCGGCTGAAACAAAATCACGTGATTGTCGAGTATAGACCATAGGCCATAGGGTATTTGAATTCGTAATTTATAAAATAAATAATTGAAAAAAACGTTATATCATACATTACCAAATACCAAAATTACAGAATAAAATATTTCAAAAAATTGGTGCAATCTGGGCTTTCTATACCCGGAGTACACATTAAGGATCCTCATTATAAACGGCGGAGGGTGTGACTCGTGATGATGAATTAACCGTGATCACGTGATCGCGAAATTTTGTTGGTGTCGTGCCGCTGGGCTAGTAATGCACTTTAACACTACTTTTAACTACCCAGCGATGCACTTTACTATTACTGCGGTCATTATTTGCCAACAACATCAATTTTGTCAAATATCCCGCAATTTAGGAAATTATGGACATATCCAGTAATTTAACCCGGTAACGATTTTACATCCGGATACTTACCACTGATATCATTTCCTTAATAAAATTTGTCTTTTGACCCTAGCATGTTTAGATTAAATATTTTAACACGCATAATTGGATGAATACTTTCTGGTAATTGCTAAATTGAAATTCTTTTACTGTAAATGTTTTTAGCTGTTATTGATTCTCATGCAGCAATCTTCTCAACTCATTTCTGTAATAGATTTTGATAATGAAATTAATAAACTACCTAAATATTTATAAATGTTTACATAATTATATAATATTAATAAAATAATTTTTGATTATTAACAAACAAGATTTTGATAAGAAATATTAAATATATCAAAATTACATATCATAAATAAATCAATATTGTATAATCGTCAAATCATCGTTATAAAGCCGCAACAATCTTCTCTATATCAAATTTGAAACTAGTCATAGGATTTTTATCAGCAGATTGGTCATGGAACAATTTAGTACCCCCTGGAGGAATGAATGCGTGAATACGATTAAGAAGTTCATGACGAACATGAAAATCCGGAGATACCTTGAAAAATGATTATTGCAATCATAAGTTTTCAAATATATTTCATATAATTATTTAGAAAACAAATCTGTTATCCTTTTCATTTACCTTCCCAATCGAATTATCTGATTCATTAATCGTACGTCCATAACCTTGTGATAGTGTAGTTTTTGTGGATGAGTTTGTGATGTTAGTATGTAGTAAAGTACCAGGAGCTTGATAATTGGTACGGATATTTATTGGAGCATCAACCGAAGAAATGTCGACAATGGGCAAACCATCACCAGAATTTGAAGCAGTAGAAAATAATCCCAATAGCGACATTTTACGAGCAACTTCGCAAATTTCACTATTATTATCACTATTATTCGAAGGTCGACCTTGTCCAATATGTCCAATATTAGACGACATTTTTTGCATCGTTACACTTTGATTTGAATTTTCGTTATAAGAAGGATCCTTTATATTCCTCGTAAAATTGGTTATTTCTGATCGTTGTGAATTTGCTACTAAAGGATTGTCATTTTGAAACATAAGGACGGAATCATTTTTAACATGGTCATTTAATGACTTTATAGTATCGTAAGAATCTGATTGTACTTTGAATTGTTGCAATTGATGTTGGACAATATCGTCATGTGTCAAATTCTTCGAAGGAGTGATAATAGACGTTTCTGGTTGAAGAACGTTAAGTAAAGAATTTCTTCGCTGTGTATCATATTCGACACTTGTTGAAGGAAGGGAAGTAGAACTAGATGGTCTAGCGGAAGTTGATGCAGCAAATAGACTTAATAATGAATTTTGCCGAGCGTGTATAGGAATTGGTGCAGTAATATCACGATTATTATTATTTTGAATTGGAGTTTGCGAATTACTACGCGAAATTCCTTTCAAGTAATTTTTTGGAGAATTTCGCTCTTCTGAAAATACAGTATTTGAGATCTGCAAACTACCAAGTTGTGGTAATAAATTTGCTGAATAATCGTTTATAACAGGATTTTTCATTTGTACTAGAGTTGTTTGTGGCGATTGATCAATAATAGGACCAGTTGAAAAATATGAATGATTTTGTTTAAACTGTGATGATTCTTCAATGGAATTATTTGTTGGCTGTGTAGACGTTGGTCTGTTTACACAAAGTATTGAATTCAAAATATTCTGAGAATCTATTGTCTGAGGTGAAAATTGGCTAAGTTGAGCACCAATATTAGGAGATTGTTCATGAGCACTGCCTTCACTATCTGTGCCAGGTACAGAAGTTTCTGGTGATGTCTCCTTGACGTTAGAAGTTGTAGCATGACCATTAAATATTACTACTTCAGTCGATTCTTCCTGATTAGATGTTTCAGCAGCTTTTTTACGAGCAATTTTTCTCTGCATTCTAAGCCAATTTCGTAGTTTGCTTTTGGGTCACATTAAACATTTGATCAATAATTCAAGTTCAATAATTATTTATAATAGAGGTTTTTCTCAGATGATTTATACATTCGCATACCTCACGAATGGGACGACCATATAAAATCTACTACTTCCATATTTCACACAACCTCCTCCACAATGATATGGAGTGTCTCTATCTCTACTTTTAATCCACGTTGGTAAATCGGCAACCTTATGCCATTCTATCTTCTGTTGATAATGTAAAACAGAGTTATACAATCAGATATAAACGGTAAAAAATAATAACCAAAAAACGACATACGCTAATTTCTTTCCGTGTTTTCGGACAAAATTCGGTATCTTCCGAGACACCTACAACGATATAAAGGCGTATACGTTGTTCACGAATCGTTAATTCAACGTAATCTTGCTCTTTGATTAAAGGAGAAATATCATATCCTGTTTCTTCCAAAACCTACAATTATTATTATACAGTTAACAAAATGATGCCTCTCATTCATTTTTTTCATCAAGTACATTTATATTCAATTAATATTCACCTCTCTAGCAGCACAGGTAGAATCAGGTTCATCCTTATTTATTTTTCCTTTGGGAAAACCCCATCCCGAACGAGAAGACCATCCTTTTACTAATACACACTAGTTCAACAAATAAATATTTATCAACATTTTTAACTATGAGAGCACACTTTCATTTTTTTTCTTATGAAATACCTTCTCCATAGTATCATTTAACATAATTGCCCCGCACACGGGAACTCTAATTTTGTACTGCATAAAATCAGCAAAAGCCTTTTCATGCTCGTGAGACCATTGATGTAATAAAGGACAATGCTTAAAAAGTGTGAAAGAATTATGGATAATTGAGAATTTTCCTAAAAAGATAAAAAATGAAAATGAAAAAAAAGGATATATTTTGCCGAAAAGTTTTTTAAGTTGAAGCTAGGCAAGCTTGGATTTTGTTCTCTAACAAAATCTTCATAAAACCAATGTGCTTGTTCGATTTGAAAACAAATTCTTTCAACGGATGCTAGTTCTTCTTCTGGTACGTTTATTATAAATCGGCTAAAAATTAAATACCAATGTTAAATAACAGCTTTATAAATAAGCTGATAAATATATCATGATAACCAAAACCTTGATAAATCGTCCAGTATTTCTGCAAAAGTTGCATTTGCGAGAGCCATTCTTTTTTTTTTTTTTTTTTGAGAATAATAAATAATACCTTCTCACAAAAAACTTATCTGTTATTCTTAAAATGATGATCATCATTGTGGCTAATTGTGAAATGATCGGCATACGCAGCTGCCGCAGCAACTTTAATTTATAAAGATGGATAATGGTCTTTTAGTCTTTTTCAGTCTTTGAAAATTTTTCAGAAAAGTAATAAGGCTACACACTCAATTTTTTGTAATATAGCAGAATTGGCTAAAGACCAAAAAGTGGCAAAATTAGGCCTTTATTTTACTTTCTCTAAGATTAGCAGAGATCAAATTAGCTTAAAGACCGCAATCTTAAGATTTTTGTTATAAAAACCTATAAAAAGCTATTTGATTCTAAATTTGCTGAGTACTGGGTAAGTCTAAAAAAAGACCATTTACCATCTTTAGTAATTTACCATTGAAATTTAAAATAAAGTTTAAGCATAAAACTATTTAGCAAATAAAAAAAATTTAAAATTATAAAATGCTTTAATAAGACTAATAGGATCTGAACAACTTATAACTGGTCTGTACTTAAATTGATTATTCTAAAATCTAATAATCAGATTTAAATAAACTTTTTTAAAACTATAATTTAAAAAAAAAATGCCAAATTGGATCACTGAATAATAAAATAATTGCAAAAAACTGATTTTTAAATTTTAGAATATAGATCTTTAAAAATTTTTCAAGTTATTTTAAAATTCTTAAAGATTTGATAACTTACAAAATTTTTAAATTCTTTGATACTAGTTAAAATTAAAACTTTTGGTCATATAATAAATTGGCAAAGTTTAACTAATCTGTTACACATTTTAGCAATTCAGTTTATATTTGACTACAATTAAAAAAATTTAACCAATAATCTATGATTAGATATATATTTAACCTGTTAAATTATGTTAATTAAATATTACATATTATACATTATACATATTAAAAGTTTAAAAAAGTATCTTATACATCCTTTTTTAAACTTTTTTAATTTTCTTTCTTTTTCCTTTTCCTTTTCTTTCTTCATTTTCCTTTCCCTTTGTCACTATTTTTCTTTTTCCTTTTTTTTTTTTATTTTCCTTTCCCTTCCTTCTCCTTTTTCCTTTCATTTTCTTTCATTTCTTATCTCCTATAGCTTTAAACTTTTTTAGTTATACACCTAAAAAGATGTTCTTACCACTATTTGATTCGTCTCGATTAGGTGATTCTAAAAAGCTATTAATCATCTTTTTATAATCACTAAATGCAGAGAAATTAAGCAAAATGTCTAGTAGTACAGTAAATGTAAATTAAGAAATATTAAAATGCTGATTTTTGACATTTCATTAAATATCTTATCAGCCAGTGGTCATAGAAAAATGAAACTGTTTAAGAATGAGTAGGCAGTGTATTTCTAGTTTCAGATCAGCCTTAAAAGTGATCTGATGGGGATGTCCTCATATAAGGTGCTGTATACTTGAAGAATTAAGTACTCAGTAGTATAGTTACCCTTTGGAGATGATAGGATACTAGTTTGATGATGCTTTATAAGAAGTAGAGGAAGACTTGGCCGCAAAACTCTAGCAAAGTAGAAAGATGAAACTACTACCATTCAATTCATCTCAATAAGATAATTTCAACAAGCTGTATTACATTTTTTTACAATTATTGGATGTTAAGCAATTTATTATATTCTTTACATAACTGTAACTATAAACAGTACTTTTTAATATAGATAGTGAATATAGATAGATTGTGATTATAATCACTATATAGAATAGATTTTAATAATAAAACGTTTTGAATATCCAACTAATGTGACTATATAGTAGAATAATATGACTATAATGAGAGTGATTATAAAGGGAGTTGACTATATACAGTACTAATTCAGTATATAAAATCTATTTGTAGAATTTGCAGGAGAGAGTAGAAAGTAGATTGACTAATTAAATAACTGAATGTAAGATCATATAAATTACTCAATCTATATTACTCTTATATATAAAATATGGAATGTAAAATGCACTTTATTCACCTTACATTACTCCTCTTATATTAAGGTTGCCTGCCGAAACTAAAAAGGAAATTTTGAAAGGTTTTAGCCAATCAAATCAAATGCTGAAAATGCCGAAATTAGGCCAAAATTCGGTCTTAATTTTGGCCAAAATTAAAATTCGGCCGAAATTATGATATTGTATCACGTGACATTACACCAATTTCCAAAAAAAAGAAATTTTGTTTCCCAGTAAAATTGGTGAAATCGGTTTTACAAAGGTTACACAAATTTCCAAAAAAAGGAAATTTATAATGTTGATCATTTCTGGCCAGAATTACGTCCTAAAAATGGCCAGAATTATACCAATAATTTCGGTCAAATTTCAGACTTTTAGCAATAATTTCGGCATTATAAATTTCGGCAAATTTATTTTTGATTGCCTAAACTTTCGGCTACAAAAAAGTTTCAGCCTTGGCCTAAATTACCTAATTTCGGCAAGCAACATTATCTTATATATTATACAAGTAATATATAAAGAATTTATATTACCTTATATTCCATACCACTGATTGAAATCATTTATTTTATCAATAAGACCTTTCAGCAACAATTCGGCAAATTGATCACATGATTCATCACTATAGTTGTTTCCAAAATTCAATTCGCAAATCTGAAATCTGAAATTATGAAATCGTAATTAATTACATAATTACGTAATTAATTACGTGTTACAAAATTAATTACATATTCTGAAATTCCAAAATTGTGCGAAATTGCGAATATCTCGGGATCTAGTGATAAGATTTCGATGATCTTACTACCATTCGATTCGTCTCATTGAGACGAATCTAATGATATGTGTTTCATTTCTATAGAACCGATATTGATGTAGTAAAATTACTATAAACATTTAATGAATTTTGGTGTCGGAGCACGATCTAGTGATTAGATTTGAATGAATTTACCACCATTCGATTCGTCATGACGAGTAGATTCTAATGGCAGTAAGATCATCTTTCTAGCATTGAAATTGGCGGAGCCATTACGCTAGAGGTGCGCTCCGGATGAATCTGGTCAATCCGTCATCCGGATGATCACGTGACGGATCAATCCGGATTAAAAAAATCGGATCATCGGATTATCCGCGGATTGACCGGATTGATTATAATTCCGGCCGGAATTAAGTAATCGGCATGGAATTATCCTTTTTAGGGTATGAGTAACGTTACACAGATCCAAAAAAGGCAATTTTGTTTCCCAGCAAAAATGAAATTTTTGGTTTCACAAGAATCCTAAAAAGGAAATTTTTCGCCGATCATTTAATTTCAGCCGGAATTTATGATTAGGTATTTAATTGTTGTCACGTGACACACGGGTATGTCGATCGTTTCCATTTATGGCGATACCCGTTCCACAAAAAACCAGTTTTTCTAAATTTAGTTTTTGGTCGTATAACATAAATTTCCTAAAAAGGAAATTTTTTGTCGATCCCGTATAGGATTGATCGGATATCCGGTCATCCATCCGGTCTATTTGACGGATTCATCTGATCAATCCGAATCCGCCTATTTGACGGATTGATCCTAGGATGACCAGATTGACCAGATTCGGAGCCTACCTCTACATTACACTATAAATATTTAAAAGTTATTGGTATTGGAGCGCGATCTAGTGATTGGATTTAAATGATCTTACTACCATTAGAATCATCATATCGAGACGAATCAAATGGTAGTAAGATCATCCAAAACGGATCACTGGGTGCCGAGTTATTATTTGTTAAAGTTTTTATATATAAATCGGCCAAAATTAAGGCTAATTCTGGCCAAATATTTTCGTAATACGAAATTAATTACGACGGAGTTTTTTTAATGAATTACTTAATAATTACAGAATTACGTAATTACGTATTTCCGTAATACTAAAATAATTTTGAACACAAGTATATTCGTCATACATTCAGCTAATTACAAAAGTCAGAAAAAAATTGGCATAAATTAATTGGTCAATTTTTGGTTGATTTTTGGTTGAGTTGTAATATAAAAAAACCATAAATTGACCAATATTTTTTTTATTGATTTTTATTAGCAATAAACAATCAACTTAAAAACTTTTTTGACAATTTTAAATGATTTTTTATTTAATTAATATCAATAATGGTAAAAGTTTAGCAGATTAGTGATACATTTCAACTTATGATCATATGATGTACTAAGCCACAGCCACAGTAATTAGTTGATCTATTACTGAATTTAGACTATTAATAATAGTTTAAACTATTTTAACTATTTCAAAAAAAAATCTTTTTTTCAAAACAGTTTTTTTTTGTTTAATCAATTTCAGTATGGATACCAATATTTCAGGTAAGTTTCGAAAGATTTTTAGAACTTCCTTTAATAAAACATTTTTTAATATTAAAAAAATGTTTTTTTATTATTTTTATATAGGAAATCAGCTCTAACATGAACGCTGATATTCCTGGTAAATTTTAAAACAAATGTTCGAAACTTCTTTAAAAATATTTTTTAATAAAAAAAAATGTTTTTTTTTGATTTTTTTATATAGGAATTCAGCTCCAACATGAATGCCGATATTCCAGGTAAGTTTTGAAACAAAATGTTTTGAAACTTCTTTAAAAATGTTTTTTAATAAAAAAATGTTTTTTTTTGATTTTTTTATATAGGAAATTAACTCCAACATGGACGCTAATATTTCAGGTAAATTTTGAAACAAAATGTTTTGAAACTTCTTTAAAAGCATTTTTTAATAAAAAACGTTTTTTTATTTTTTATATAGGAATTCAGCTCCAACGTGAATGCCGATATTCCAGATAAATTTCGAAACAAAATGGTTCAAAACTTCTTTTATAAAATTTTTAATGCTAAAAACATTTTTTTTTAATATTTTTATATAGAAATTCAGTTTGGACATGGATACCAAATTCCAAGATAAGTTTTGAGAATTTTTAAAACTTTAATAAAAAAAATGTTAATTTCTAATGTTTTTTTTTATATTATTATAGGGATATCAATTCTGGCGTGAATACTGAATCCCAAAGACAAGTTTTGAAGAATCTTTTTGAAACTATTAAAAAAATGTTAAAATAAACGTTTTTTTTATATTTAATTATAGGGATATCAGCTCCTACTTAGATACTGAAATCCCAAAAATTAGTTTTAAAATTTTTTTTTCAAAACTATTAATGTCATAAAAAATGTTTTTTTAATATTTTTTTATTTTTTTTCTTGTAGAGAAATTGGCTTCTACTTGGATACCAAATCTTAAAGGTAAGTTTTGAAATTTTTTTTTGAAATTATCTTTTTTTTAAATAACGATTTACTAAGGGCAGTGATATATATTAGCTAATATTATTTTAATAGTAACGTTTACTCCCCCACCCCCAGGTAAGATTTTATGACCAATCACAACCATTTCACATGGTTTATATCTGTCTCTTATACACATCTAGATGTGTATAAGAGACAGACCTACAATTATTATTATACAGTTAACAAAATGATGCCTCTCATTCATTTTTTTCATCAAGTACATTTATATTCAATTAATATTCACCTCTCTAGCAGCACAGGTAGAATCAGGTTCATCCTTATTTATTTTTCCTTTGGGAAAACCCCATCCCGAACGAGAAGACCATCCTTTTACTAATACACACTAGTTCAACAAATAAATATTTATCAACATTTTTAACTATGAGAGCACACTTTCATTTTTTTTCTTATGAAATACCTTCTCCATAGTATCATTTAACATAATTGCCCCGCACACGGGAACTCTAATTTTGTACTGCATAAAATCAGCAAAAGCCTTTTCATGCTCGTGAGACCATTGATGTAATAAAGGACAATGCTTAAAAAGTGTGAAAGAATTATGGATAATTGAGAATTTTCCTAAAAAGATAAAAAATGAAAATGAAAAAAAAGGATATATTTTGCCGAAAAGTTTTTTAAGTTGAAGCTAGGCAAGCTTGGATTTTGTTCTCTAACAAAATCTTCATAAAACCAATGTGCTTGTTCGATTTGAAAACAAATTCTTTCAACGGATGCTAGTTCTTCTTCTGGTACGTTTATTATAAATCGGCTAAAAATTAAATACCAATGTTAAATAACAGCTTTATAAATAAGCTGATAAATATATCATGATAACCAAAACCTTGATAAATCGTCCAGTATTTCTGCAAAAGTTGCATTTGCGAGAGCCATTCTTTTTTTTTTTTTTTTTTGAGAATAATAAATAATACCTTCTCACAAAAAACTTATCCTGTCTCTTATACACATCTAGATGTGTATAAGAGACAGGTTTTAACTATCTCTCCTCGCGACTCAGAAGTTACTATTTATACTGACTCGCAAACTGCCATTGATGGCCTTCGAAGTTATTCTTCTTTTGTCTACTTAAACAGTCGTCTGTACTACAAAACTACAAATTTTGAGCTTTGGGCGATTATTGAGCGAACCATCCTCTCCAAAAATTTGACAGTTTTTCCCGTCAAAATTAAAGCTCACTCTGGCAATTATTTAAATGATTTTGCTGACTCCCTGGCCAATACTGCTCATACCGCGTCATCCAGTATTCTGATCTCCGAAATGGACCTGGCCTCTGCCCATGATTTTGTCTTAGTTTATGATAACGATGTTGTCTGTGAATCTAACCCGTGANGCTCTGAAGTTGTAAACGGAGAAATGAAAAATTCGGAAGTTAGTACCGTTATGAAAATGCACTTTTCTCCATAAGTATTATACCCACACTCATGAAAATTAATATATAAGTAGTTTCGACCTTGCTGAACAACTTTCAATTAATTTAAAAAGTCGATTTCATTTGACTGAAGTGGTGTAATTACGCTCTGAAGTTATAAACGAAAAAGTAAAAAATTTAAAAGTTATTACCGTTAAAAAAAATATGCTTTCTATATAAATATCATACTTAGCCTTATGAAAATTAAAATACAAGTAGATTTAACTTGCTGAACAAACTTACTTATTCATAAAAGATAATTTGATATAACCAAAGTGGTGAGTATTGAAATTATATTTAAAGTAAAACATATTTATAGTAATTTTACTATTTAATAAAATAAACATGTATAATATAGTAATTTTATATTAAAAATAATACACTGAGTTTAATAAAAATTAAAAAGATACTATTGACAGATAATTAATAAAACATTGAAAAAAAAAAAATGAAATTTCATCAAAAAAAAATTTTTGTTTATCAGTCAGTGGAAATGTCCCCAAAAATTAGAGGAAGATTTTTTGTACTATGATATCTCAATATAAATTATTGGGACAGTATGGCTATATGGCATATAGTATATATGTAAACTTAAGGTTGGCCAAAGTTGGTACAAATGGCTAAAATCGACAATTTTCAGATCTTAATTCTGGCCGAAATTTTCTTAATTTTGGCCAAATTCGTAATGCTGGCCTAAATTACATTAAAATCAAAATTTTCAGGTCAAAGGTAACACCATATTTATGCAATGTAACATTTTTTCCAATAATAGTAAACATGTTCGTTCAAGGTTTGAAAAATATTTTCAAACCTTTTAAAAGTCAAAAACTTCACTTTATTCAGTTGTATCTGGCCAAAGAAAGTAATCAATTATATGGTTATTTTAATACAACAAACTAATAAAAATTAAGAAAATTTATTTAACCTTATTCTTTTGCTTATTTTTTTTAAATATTCAATAAATATCTTTTATTTTTACGCTACTTTAGATACTTTTTATATATATAAAAAAATATTTTACTTATTCATATTATACTATTTGTATTTATGACTTAACAAGTAAATAGACCTAATAGTCAATAAGAATTTTTCTATGAATAAATAATTTTTGTTTTATTTTCTTGTTAAACGAACTAAAATTAAAAATTTTAAAGTTTTTTTTAATGTTATAATAATTTACATGATTACTATAATATTAAGAATTAAGGCATTAAATGTCTAATTTAAATAAACAAATAAAAACATAATATTTAACTATTTTTGCAATTAAACCTCATTTATAACGCCCAAATAGATCTAATAATATTATTTTAATAAAAAAAAATTTTTTTTATTAGCATTATAATTAAAAAATTCAACAAAATTTATAAATAACAAAAAATCTAGCTTAATAATCACCATTCTAAACTTAACAAAAGTTGTTCATTTCACCAAATTATACCTAAAAATGAAATAATTGCTGGTTAAGAAAGCTTTTGTTAAGAGTTTTATTGAAATCAAGAAAAATTTTTTTTATTATAAAAATTGGTTTTTTGCAGTTTACACAAAATCTCCCTAAATAACTGCCTTTTTTAACTTAATAAATCTTTTTCTTCTCATAAAATTACATATATTTGCATTATTTAAATTGTATTTTATATCCACCTTTAAGTTGCATTTTGAGGAAAACTTCATTTTTAAGACGAACTTTCTTGTAATATATAAAGAAAAAAAAAATATTACTAAAGAGGAAATGATGACGAATATTTATAGTACACATGATGAACTATTAATTTACTTAATTTGTATAAGTATTGTATTAAAAATTTCTTTTTTTAGCTACGTGGTGATATATTCAATTATAGTTACACAAAATTATTTTAATTAATGATCGGCAAGAGAAATGACATTTTCACTGACTGTTATGTACAGTCAACTCCCTCTATAGTCACTCCCGTTATAGTCACATTCTACTATATAGTCACACCAGTTGAATGTTCAAAACACTTTATTATTAAAAACTATCCTATATAGTTACAATCTATCTATAGTCACTATCACACCTATCCTCAAAAATCTTATATTAAAAAGAACCGTTTATAATCACAGTTATATAAAGAATATATTAAATAACTTGGCATCTAATAATCGTACAAAGATGTATCATAGCTTGTTAGAATCGTCTCACTGAGACGAATCGAATGGTGGTAGTTTTATCCTTTTCCGATCACTGGCTGACGAGTTATTCAACAAAATGTTAAACATCGGCATTATAATATTTCTTGATTTACGTTTACTGCGCCATTTAACATTTTGCTAGATTTCTCGGTACCTAGTGATTGTAAAAAGACGATTTATAGCTCGTTGGAATCGCCTCATCGAGACGAATCGAATGGTGGTAAGCTCATCTCTCTGTGATCAATATTGACGGAGTTATTACTTAAAAACCATTTAATATTTTTTAATTTCGGAAATTGATCTAGTGATTGGATTTCGATGTATCTTATACCATTAGATTCGTCTCATCAAGACGAATCGAATGGTAGTAAGATCGTCTCTCTAGGATCAATATTGGCAGAGTTATTACACAAAAACCATTAATATTTTTTTAATTTCGGAAATTAATCTAGTGATTGGATTTCGATGTATTTTACACCATTAGAACCGTCTCATCAAGACGAATCGAATGGCGGTAAGATCATCTCTCTACGATTAATATTGGAGGAGTTACGATACAATAAAGTTTTAAGTATAATTTTGGCCAAAATTATGTTAATTTTTGGCCGGAATTATGATATACTAATATAAGAAATTTTTTATATAGTAACATCTCTTTATAATCACCAAATATGGACTGTCCCAAATGTGTGACTATAAAGAGAGTTGACTGTATTTATATAAAATTGTGAAATGTAGTACAAAATTAACACTTAACGTTAGTGAAAAGGGAGTATATAGATAATGAGTATGATATAACCTTCGTTGTATGTATGGTATAGTTTTTTATTTTATACAGTATAGTTCACTCTAATCTTTATATTTTAAATAGCTGAGTATATAGATAATGAGTATAATATAACCTTTGTTGTATGTATGGTATAGCAGTGTTGGGTTTTGGACTTGTCCAATTGGTTTTTTTAATTGGACAATTTTGGACTGTCCAAAACCAGTTTTGGACATAGTTTTGGACAGTTTAAAACTGCTCAAGAGTCCTAATATTTACTAACTGAAAACAACTGAAACTAAAAATAAAATAAAAATATAATGTTAAAATGTTAAAAAAGTAAATATTTAATATAAATTAAATAATAAAAATTAATGTAAAATCAAAATAATATTAAAAATTAACATTTAAAGATTTTTGAAGTAATTTAATAATTGAATTAAAATTAAAATTAGCCAAAATTAGTCATAATTCTGGCCAAAATTAAATTTTTTGTCATGTGATCTATCCAAAACCTGTCCAATGAAAAAAAAGGTTTTGGTTTTGGACAAGTTTTGGACAGGTTTTGGACAAATGTCCAAAACGTCCAATTGTCCAATTGCCCAACACTGTGGTATAGTGCTATACTCGATTTAGAAAAATAGTATGGATCCATGTAAATAGATGTGCATCATACAGTATTATACTGGCGATCGTACTTCAACCATCAACCACGTTTTCAAATTTTCAGATAATTGAGTTTCACAAACCATTATCAATCTTTTTTTTATTAGCTCATTTCCAAGTTTTGGTTAGATGCGCGTCAAGGCAGTAGTAAATGTTTTTTGGCTTACGTCCATTTCGTCAACTCTATCTGAGCTTTTTTCCATTCTTTAGATTTAGTTCTTAAATTTTCAACTACTTTAAATGTGTTTAGAAAACTATTCATTTGAGAATAATATTAACATCTAGATCTCTGTAATTTTTCACTTCCATTACTTCCATTGTTATTCATTATAAATAAACTTCATTACAAAATATAATTTTAAAATTAAACATCTTTACCAAATAATTTTATTGTTCTTTTTTTTATTAGCTTATCATTATTGAATAAATTTTCTTAGGGTTTATTTAGGTGCTTTAAGATGGAAATGTTATTTATTTACGTCCATTTCACCAATTCTATCTCTAAGTTTTTCTTTATTATTTAGTTTCAGTTGGGCTCTTCAAGGTAGTAAGTAATTTTTTATTTTTTCAAATTTTCATTTTATCATTATTTCTTTTTTTTATTAGCCTATTGTTATTGAAATAAATTTTTTTTTTAGGATTTATTTAGGCATTTTAAGGTAGTAGGTAAGTGTTTTTTATTTTATCCATTTCATCAATCCTTGTTTATAATTTTCCTTTCTTTTTTTAGAGCTTTAATTGATTAGACTTTTCCTCTAAAACATTTTTTGGAAAAGGCGTGAATTGATATTTCAGATCCGTACTTTGTACAAGCCAGCAGAAATTGATTGAAGAATAGCTTTTACTTGTTATAATTCTCAGGATCTTTAGATATCCAGACGGTATCTTGTTGGGAATTTTATCAACTTAAAAGACTACTCAAAATTGCTAAAAACACTCAAGAACTTAAATTGACTTTCACGGCAAAATTCCTCCAAAAAATTTCAGAGAGTTACAAACTTTAAAGGGTTTTATAAAATATTTACATAATACTAAAGCAGGATTTACACTTCCTTATCAACTCGACAATTTCAACATAATTATTTTATTGATGAGATTATTCGATCTATTGAGATGAGGTAGGAATCTTGCTTTAATATATTTGAATTTAGATTGTTTTTAATTTCATCTTTATTTTTTCATTTTTATCAACTTTAAATACTCCTTTCCCTCTTTTTAGGACTTTCCTTGTTGATTGGATTTTCTAAATAAAATCATCATTACATCCACATTATTCTGATTCAATTTCCATATAAGTAAGATCACGAGGAGGAGTAGGTATTTTATTTTGTCTTTGTTTTTTCATTTTCCCATTTCTTTTTAAGGAATTTGGCTGCGCTTTTCATGGTAGCAGATTAGACTAAAAGAAAATTGTACAGTAAAACCAATATTCCTTTGCAAAGTTTTAGTTTTTAACGTAAATGTAGAAATATATTTAAATGATATGAACATATTAAGTAGGTTATTATAATAGTTTTGTTTTAAAAATGGTAATGACGTTCAAATATATTTTTTATTTAATAAATAATAAATTTTTAATAAAATAAGTTTTTTTGTTATCAATATTAACTAAATTTAATTATGATTACATAAAGGGATTTTTGCACATGTGATTTTATTTCTGTTGATCTGTTTATTGTACAATTTTAATCCATATTGTGCAACAAAAATATGCGGATCACATAATAAGTCTGTGCGACTAGGTAGGGTCTGTGCGACATAATAATTTTTACATATATTCTAAAAAGAAGTTAACTAGTACCTCTATTTTTTTCCTGAATAAACATGAGAAAAATGTGAAAAGAGATGTCTAGTTATAACACAAAACCAACTCTAAAAGTAAATAATTATGGTAAAAGCATATGTTATGAAAGGCTAAGGACTTTGGAATTTCGAGATCTACAAGAACTAACTACCTTTGCGTCTCTCTGGTAGATCTCCATGTAAAAAGGTATGAAGATTCCACTTGCATGTGCTTTCAAAAGACTCTTGGCATCAGACAACAATACTAATTACGCCTCATACTTCCTTAACTTCGGCTTGGCGCTCTTTTTCTCAGCAAGATATAAAGCATGTAGAGGTACGTGGAAGTTCAGCCAACTTTTCGCAAAAAACTTTCTCGTAAAATAACGCAAAATAAGGTATGTATATGCCCTAAATTATATATGTATGGGAGCAAGTTTTTCTCACTATATTTCTTGAATTTAGGAAATTCACTACACAATGACTGATAACAATAGTATCGAAATCACTCTCAACTGCCTTATTGTTCCTGTAGGGAACCTTATTGGGGTCCTATGTAGTGAAGTAAATCAAGCGATTACAATTAAGACAAATCAACCGGTTAGTGCACTTGAAGAAGCAATTCAAGCCAGATTGGGGATAACTAACTCTCTAAGCATTCGTCAAATTAATCTTAGTAGCGTTTCTGAAAGGCCTATGCGATCGCAGACTTTGATTTCTGATTTTTTTAATCAACCACCTGAGGCAGAATTCTTCCATGTCACCGTATATTTCCGTTAATAATTTACAGTACCATGTAGTAATATAGTCGCAATTTTTAGTATTGTAGGCCAGATTCTGATAATGTTTTATTTCATAAATAAAGTATTATTTTATCGAACGTATATGAAAAATGGGTCACGTGTAATGATGCAATACCTGTGCTATATAAAAACCTATATTAACGCCTTTCCCGAACAGAATAAATTTTTATCTCACTCCGGAACATAACACTATTTTTTTGTCTGAGCCTATTTTCACTATAAAAGCACCATGTCTATTATCACTCTTAGTTGTTTGGTCGTGAGTGAAAACCCTTATGAAAATGCTTTCGCAGTTGAAATAGATATAACAAAGCTAGTTAGTTTTTTCAGGGATGTTATCAAGGAAAAAAATACACAAGCTTTTGCTAACGTTAACGCTAAAGATATTAAGTTATAGAAGGTCAACATTTTCCTCGAAGAAGAAAATGAAAAATTAACTGCCGTCAACACAAAAATAAACGTTAATATCAAGGACGAGCTTGGTGGTGTAGAACTTGAAGATTAGTAAACACTTCACCTTTCAGTCAGCCGACGAGCACATACATATAATAGTACAGCGTCCTGTTGAGACGAAAGAAGTTCACTGCACCGCAATGTATGGGCGTAAAAGTGCGAATTTTCAATGGATAGTGACCCGAGAAATGGTGACGTTGGAAGGTTTTAAGAGGAAGCTTTGTGAATATTTCACATTTTCGGATGGGACAAAAAACGAGCATATTGTAATAGGTCGTGTAGTAGGTGGTACCGGCTTGAAGAGAAAATTTTTGACAGGAAAAATGCATAAAAAATTAGACCAGGCAAGTTTGAGTTCCCAGAGTGCAAGTGACACGGTTGAGATTGTGGCAGAGCGTAAAGTTATTCAGTTTTCTGCTGATAAGGATTTATTGAGCATTATCTGGACTGTTGACCCCAAGGTGGATCTGGAAATAGTTGTGGATACGTGTAAGTATTATCAAGTTATTTAAGATATTCACGTGCCGATTCTACCAAATGTCTGATTAGTTAATTTCTGCATGGCTGTTTTATAACGCAACAACCTTTCTCTTCGTATACTTTTCCCAAAATAAAGGTTCTTTTCGGTTTGAAGGCTGATAGCTATGATCAATTACCATGTATTGAGAGATTGGAAGTTCAGCAACTCCGGAAGAGATCAGGAATAGTGTGATTGAGGATTTTTTAAGAATGCACAAAGCATCCCTACTCATCACTAGCGCGAATGAGGCTACCCACTGTGAATTTATTTCTGTGATTATATATGGGGTGGCGTCCATCTTCGATGGTACTGTAAAAGTTTATCCCCAGTATGAAGTCTCTGGAAGTCATGAAAAAGGACCCATAGATTGGGTGATCAAAATGGGGGATACAATTATTTCTGTAACTGAAGCAAAACGAGAAGATATTAACCAAGGTGTTGCAGGACCCCGAAAAATACATAAAAAGGTCACATTTGAGTTTGCTTAAAAAGAACCTAAATTTTCATGAAAATCTTGCCTTTTTTAGATAGTGCCGGCCTAAATTTTATTGTCCGTTTTGTTACTGACCAGCATTATCATAATTCCGGCCCTGAAAAGTTGCTTATTTTAGGCCAAAATCTTGCCGATCATTTATGACCTCCATATGTATTTTTCGGGGTCCTGGTGTTGCCCAGAGTACCAAGCACATGCATCTTTGCAATGCAATTGCAAAAAACGTACTTATGATGATGCTAATTTGTATGAAGGTGCAATGTACTGCATTGTCTCAACAGGTATGCTTGTAAAACAAGTTCGAAAAATATGACCTGAATTACTACTTGATCAAAATCAATGCAATTATTACTAACTCTTTTATTTGATATCCAATTTCAGGTGTTGACTGGGTAATAACAAAAGTTCAAAGTGGTATTGGAGATGGGAATGATAATGGTGATGGGAATCCGGTCGAAGTTTTTTTGTGTTCGCCTACGCCTACACCTCTACCTACAACTACCCATCATTATCTCGCGATGACCTAGTTGGACCTATTGAGAAATTATTTGGGCAAATCAAATGGGTTTTTGATCAGCAAAAATCATCATTGGTCGATGGAAAGCGGGTAAAAACAGAATAACAAGATAGAGTATTAGCATAGACGTCATGTATCACGGGGTAAGTCCCGATCTTTTTCGCATGTAATAATAAAAAATTTTCTTGGCAAAAGTGATCGGCATGAACAATTGTTCACGCGCACGTGATTTTTATAGAAATTTTAGGTTATGAAATACCGTGACAAAATGTCACAATCAAGTCGATATGGATAATAACAGATGTGGAAAAATGGTATTTCATGGAATGTACGCTAGACAACGAAAGGAGACCATTGTTCAAGTTGTCGAAGTCCTTATTTGTTGTGTATGAAGATGAATGAGGTTATGAAAGAGAAGATGGAGAGTCCTTGGCCGTATTATTTGGTTGTTATACAAATGACACTAATCGTGACAAAATTCATAACTACCGCGTGATATCATGCTTGAGACTACATATAGATTTGCTGACAAGAAAAGAGCTTCGGTAAAAATATTCAGGTGGATATCTGAGAAACGTTCATTCTTAGTTCCGAATTTTGACCTGAATATTCACGTGATTTTTTGATCGTGAAGATTCTTCACGGTTGCACCCATGATGTAATAATGCGAATACATGTTCGATAAGCTAACTTCTATTTATTTTTCCCGAATGTGTGAAAGTTAGAGAACCTTGTAGTTAGAAGTATTAGCGAAATTTACAATAAATGTAGGGGCAAAAAAATAATATGGTGCTAAGACTCGCATTAAATGGCCTAGGATCTGCGTACTCCCTCCCTCTTTGATAGCATCATATATTTCATTCGCTTCTCTAAAAAATCATTAATAAAGTTTTCGCTTTATTCTAGCTGTGTGATTTGCAAAATAAAACTTTTTATTTTTTTTGTGATATAATAGAGATATCTATATAATCAACTTAAAATACAAAAAAAGGCAAGTATAGCTATAATTAAAGTTCTAATTCTAGCTCTGACTCTAGTTCTGGCTTACAATCACCTTACAAATTTAACTTTATGTCATCACAATCTTTACGTTTGATAATAACTGTTTTGTAATCATCCGAATAGAGTACATACCAAAAGTTTTTTTTAGGCATTATTACTTGTTTTGTATTACGCCGGAAATCAAGAATCGCCCATTGCTTAAGTGGAATTTCAGCGTATATACCGTCACTTTCAAATCTTTTAGCATGCTCTTTCAACTTCTCACCCTCACGGGTCAGTTCAACCCCCCAGCAATGTCCATTATCTACATAAAAATCAAGAAATCCTACTGAACCAAATGATCCACCAACATCAGAACTCACTGATGCATTCTCAGGAATTACCGTTTTAGCAGTACGGAACCATTCCATTTGCCAAGTTCTTTCGTATAAATATGACCCTTTTCCAAGCGATTCTTTTAAAGTAGATGAGCTCATCCGCTCAATGGTTCGTAACAAAAACTCATCAAATGTGCTTGAAGGTGATTGATTAACATTCAAAGGTGCTTTGAACAAATAGTTGCTTAAAACAGATCGCATTATGGGAGCAGAAAATGTTAATCGTTCATCATTAGTGTTAATTGTAGTTATGAGGCCCATTTTAATAAATTTCTTAATAACAGGATCTAATAAGCTACCAGAAAAGGGAGTGTTTGGTTGTAATAACTTACTGCGAATAAATTCTGCTTCTGGCTTATTCACTTTCCAATCACGGGTCCAATAAAAAGCGCGGGCACATCCAATCATACCATTAAACAAAAGGGTGGAAGCAAGATATTGTAGCATTTCCACTGTTTTTCCATTTTCACGAAATTGATCGCGTAATACTCTTAAAACAAACCGGCACAAACCAACATGTCCAGCAGTTAGATTATATAATGCCCTTCGAACAGGGTCAGGAATGATAAAGTTCATGCTTCCCAAAGTAACATGCCTCTGAATAAATTTTGTTACAAGTTGCGAGAATTCTTCCCACGTTAGAAGCAGGACACTTAGACTAAGTGTATAATGGAGATCAAGAGGTGTTGATATAGTTTCAACATTTGGATGATATACACCAAGTAAAACAATATGAATATCTCGAGTATTTGATTCACTTGACAAAATAGTCTTTAATGAGCCCCAAAAGAATGGTGCACCATTACCATAGATAACCTGTATTTCATCAATGATAACATAAATTTCCTCTTTACACTCGCTAATTTCTGTCCAGCTACGACCAATCATCTTCTTCCAGTAATTATCAAATTTGTTACTATTATATATTTCGTCTTTACCGCACATGCCAGCAAGATTAATTTATACGCCATCACTAAGACTTTTAAAAAAGTCTCGAAGCGTCTGACCGACAGTACTTTTTCCTGAAGATGGCGGACTACGCAAAATTACAATCTGATGCTTTTGCACAAAATCAACGATCGACTTTAATCTATCTGGTGATATAACCATAAGATTGTCTCGTCCTTCATCTGATTCTTCGGGATCTTTAAATAATTTATAAATATAAAAAAAGTTAATTTTAAAAAAACAAGATTACAAGTCAATGTCCAGTATATATTACATACATGTTGATTTCCCTTTTTTTCGAGTTCCACTTTCTTCATCACAATAATCCAAATCCAATTGTCTCTTCCCTGATCGAATAAAAAAATATGTGAGATAACGCGAATTTCTTGTTCGAGAGGTAAACCATTGGGAGACACTTACCAGTGGTGGCGGGCTGGGGCGGTTGCACGAGGATGTGGATTGAGGATGTTGGTAAGTTTTTTAAATATTTTGAAATTTCGTCTCCTGGTAACATTTTCTCTCCTTTAAGATCTTTTTCAATGTTAATTGTACCAAACGCGTTATCAAGCATCTTCAGCTTATCGTTTTCACAGTCGAAAGGAATATCGACTTTCCATAATTTGAGATCGCTTCTGTCAATACTGGAAAGGGTGTTCTTCTTCATCTCATATATAGTATTCCTGAGTATCATAACGCGTTGTGAGGAATCGAACTCAACATAATCAAGTTCCTCTTTAGCGGGAACTTTACCTAGAACGAGATAATATGCCATGGTATACCTGCAAACGCGAAAATTGAGAGTTAAAAACAAGGTTCTAAAAAATAATTTTTCAGTATAACACGAGTAAAAGACTTTTTGGATACAATGTTAGACCTAGCAGGTAGGGAATTTTCCTCGAATTTAGTTTGTACCCGGAACGGCGAAAGTACTCGAGATAGCGAAGAATAGTTCGACATTTTGATTATTTATCATATATATATATGTTTCCATAAACGGTTGACTAATTACTACGAACTGTGAGTCAGTAATTACTACGAACTGAGTCAGCGATGTGTCAGGATCAAAAATACAAAATAATTCCCAGCTATCAAAGACATTACGCAGTTATGACTGTACATTTGCAAGGAAGCGACTCTGAGCTTGCAGAGCTAATGCCTATTTTTTTTTGTTCTGAAATTTCGAGGGCCTTATTGGGTGGAGAACATAAACTTTTGGTGAGTTTTATACTAAGGTTAATTTATTTCTGACTCTGCTAACTGGCGACCACTTTATTCGATTCAGAATATCGATGTTGGGACAAATGAAAATCGATTATAGTTAATGTAGTATATAGATAGATAATATAGTTATTGAGTATGATATATACCTCCGATGGTGTATAGTATAGTGTAAAAAAACTATACTGTATAGATAAAAGCTATACTGTATAAAATAAAAAACTATACTGTATAGATAAAAATTATACTGTATGGATAAAAAATTATACTGTATAGATAAAAACTATACTGTATAGATTTTTGTCAACTATACTATACAACATCGGAAGTATATATCATACTCAATATCGTTTAACCGATATAGATAGCTTAGATAGCTTAGATGAACGAAACACCTGCAGGCATTAGTATAGAGACTCTATTTCACATTGTAAACCAATATGTATTTTTTTTACATCAATAAATCAATAATTCCAATTGTGGCATTTTGTCACAGTTTTTTTTATCTATGCTAACGAAGTTTTGAATTAATCTGTTTTATATAAAAAATTATTATCGAACATGCAATCCACTGATTCATTGAGAGAATTAAATGCCAAGCTCTTAGCCGAGATTGCCGAACTTAGGAAGGAGAATGCTGAGATTTCCGAACTTAGAGAGAAGTTGCTAAAATTTGCTGAGGTTGAGGTTGAGAATGTAAGGCTGAAGCAAATTATTGAAAAGAATGCAAGGCGTGATGCTGAGAATGTTGAACTCAAGTCTAGAGTCAGAGAGCTTGAAGCTAGACTTGCATTATTAGAACAGGGTTCAGCAGTGGATAAGATGGTGTTGTCATTTGGTCAGACACAAAATGGTGACGAAGCGATGCCAACTGTTGACGTACCCGATTCTGTAATAGACTAGCTCAATAATAAAGTAGGACGAGCACCTAGTGATCTTGATGGTAATGATGAGGAAGTGGTCAATTTCTTGGATGAGGCATATAAGAAAAGCATTAGTAATGAGATTAGAGAGAGGAGGCGGGAAAAGAAGCAGAAAGATCAAGAGGCACTCGTAATTTCTCAGAACGTGACTAAAATCCCTGAGGTTACGGACATGTTAACTTCAGAGCAAGATGAGCAAGACTTATCACAATCTTATGAGGCTAGTTCTGAGAGCATAAGATCCGCATTTTGCATCTTATCAAAGCAACCGCAAGTTAATGCATCCAAATTAACATGTAATCTTGAAAACCGTGAAGATTCTTCACGATCAGAGTTATGTGACATGGAGAAACTTAAATCCGATTTGCATAATGAAGTTATTGCCAAGTTGGATAAAAATATAATTGTGGAACAGGAGTTAAAGCAACAGTTATTAACACCTGCACATACATCTACATCAGATCAAACTTTAGAAGAACAGGATCCATCTTCAGATACCGCACAAAATATAGTTTGCATGTTCAGGAAAGCTAATAAGCTTGGTCAAGAAGCAATTTTATNATCATAATCATCATCTCTATAGCCCAGTTTAGGATGTGTATTTGTAATGAATGACGACATTAATCCAACATGACTATGAAAACAGAGAAAGTCAGCATCATATAGATCATATAGTTCACAAAACAAACCAAAAATATATTTACCGATCCCATGTATGTTTATTGCCTAATAGATTTTCCGAATATTCTATCATCGGCTTTTGTATTATTGACTTTAATTTTTGTTTTAGATATGCAAATGCACCTTCAAAATTCTCGTGACTATATTCTAGCAAAAAGTTTAAGAATAGTGGAATTTTGCCTGTGATGTCTTTGATTTGTTCCTTCTCCTGATCATTCATTGCTGGCAAACTATACTTTTTCCACCATTCTTCCATCTCTTCCTAAATAAACATTATATTAATATACAAAAAATTCACCACATAAAGTATCTTAATCTTACCTCATTAAACCCTCCATAAAGCTTGATCTTCAATTCACCAGTTTGCTTTTGCATAAGATAATGTAGTATTGTCTTATTGTTAGCTGAAAAACTCATTATATAATAATGGTAATTGCTCATTTTATTAATTTGTTGTTTAATTTTTAAGCTAACCCCAGTATTATCAAGTTCATCTAGAGCATTCATTTGATCGACGATAAAATATAACTTTTCTTTGAATTGTAATTTTTTACAAAAATCTACGATATTTTCAAAATTTTCACAGGAATTAATTTCATTTATTTTTGCATCATCATCATGATAGGCAAGAAATAAGGCAGACTTGGTATAATCTACTGGGTCTACTGCCAGTTGGCGACAATCGGGAAGAAATACAACACGTCTTCCTGTTCGGAAAAGGAAGCATGCAATTGCTGAAAGAATATGTGACTTGCCATATCCGACAGTACCATAAACAAATAATTTCATATATCCAGTACCAGATCGAAGTTTGTTTATGGTTTCTAAAATGTTTCTGAATTCCTTTCGTCCCATAAAGTTGAAATAACGATTATTGTCAATAGCGAATCTATCTATTGGTAATTTTTCGCCAATGTATGGATATGGTAATGAGAGGAAATTTTTAGGATTTGAGTAAGTAGATTCATTCTCATCAAGTTTCATTATGCCTTCCATGATTTTATGGGCAGTAGAAATTATATTTAAATCTATAAAATAATTTTACATATTAAAATGATGATATTTAGTCTTAGTTGAACCCAAAAAATTACACACCTGCAAATTTTGCTCTTTTACTATTTTGACCTTCATCCAAATCTATCCGCGATCGCTTTCCTTTTTCTGATTGAATAAAAAATATAAGATGTGAGATAACGCGAATTTCTTGTTCGAGAGGTAAACCATTGGGAAACACTTACCAGTGGTGGTGGGCTGAGGCAATTGCACGAGGATGTGGATTGAGGATGTTGATAAGTTTTTTAAATATTTTGAAATTTCGTCTCCTGGTAACATTTTCTCTCCTTTAAGATCTTTTTCAATGTTAATTGTACCAAACGCGTTATCAAGCATCTTCAGCTTATCATTTTCACAGTCGAAAGGAATATTGACTTTCCATAATTTGAGATCGCTTCTGTCAATACTGGAAAGAGTGTTCTTCTTCATCTCATATATAGTATTCCTGAGTATCATAATGCGTTCTGAGGAATCGAACTTAACATAATCAAGTTCCTCTTTAGCAGGAACTTTACCTAGAATGAGATAATATGCCATGGTATACCTGCAAACGTGAAAATTAAAAGTTAAAAACAAGGTTCTAAAAAATAATTTTTCAGTATAACACGAGTAAAAGACTTTTTGGATATAATATTAGACCTAGCAGGTAGGGAATTTTCCTTGAATTTAGTTTATACCTGGAATGGTGAAAGTACTTGAGGTGAAGAATAGTTTGACATTTTGATTATTTATCATATATATATATGTTTCCATAAATGGTTGTTGACTAATTACTACAAACTGTGAGTTAGTACGAACTGAGTCAGCGATGTGTCAGGATCAAAAATACAAAATTGCGAAAAAAAATTTATCAAAAATCAGCCACATCTCACAATGTCACATGAGAGTGCCAATCAAAATAATTCCCAGCTATCAAAGACATTACGCAGTTATGACTGTACATTTGCAAGGAAGCGACTTTGAGCTTGCAGAGCTAATGTCTATTTTTTTTTGTTCTGAAATTTCGAGGGCCTTATTGGGTGGAGAACATAAACTTTTAGTGAGTTTTATACTAAGGTTAATTTATTTCTGACTCTGCTAACTGGCAACCACTTTATTTGATTCAGAATATCAATGTTGGGACAAATGAAAATCGATTATAGTTAATGTAGTATATAGATAGCTTAGATAGCTTAGATGAACGAAACACTGGCAGGCATTAGTATAGAGACTCTATTTTACATTGTAAACCAATATGTATTTTTTTTACATCAATAAATCAATAATTTCGATTGTAGCATTTTGTCACGGTTTTTTTTATCTATACTAACGAAATTTTGAATTAATCCGTTTTATATAAAAAATTATTATTGAACATGCAATCCACTGATTCATTGAGAGAATTAAATGCCAAGCTCTTAGTCGAGATTGCCAAGCTTAGGAAGGAGAATGCTGAGATTCCCGAACTTAAAAAGAAGTTGCTAAAATTTGCTGAGGATGAGGTTGAGAATGTAAGGCTGAAGCAAATTATTGAAGAGAATGCAAGGCGTGATGCTGAGAATGTTGAACTCAAGTCCAGAGTCAGAGAGCTTGAAACTAGACTTGCATTATTAGAACAGGGTTCAGCAGTGAATGAGATGTTATTGTTATTTGGTCAGACACAAAATGGTGACGAAGCGATGCCAACTGTTGACGTACCCAATTCTGTAATAGATCAGCTCAATAATGAAGTAGGATGAGCACCTAGTGATCTTTATGGTAACGATGAGAAAGTGGTCAATTTCTTGGATAAGGCATATAAGAAAAGCATTAGTAATGAAATTAGAGAGAAGAGGCGGGAAAAGAAGCAGAAAGATCAAAAGGCACTCGTAATTTCTCAGGATGTGACTAAAATCCCTGAGGTCATAGACATGTTAACTTCAGAGCAAGACGAGCAAGACTTATCACAATCTTATGAGGCTAATTCTGAGAGCATAAAATCCGCATCTTGCGTCTTATCGAAGCAACCGCAAGTTAATGCATCCAAATTAACATGTAATATTGAAAACCGTGAAGATTCTTCATGATCAGAATCATTTGACATGGAGGAACTTAAATCCGATTTGCATGATGAAGTTATTGCCAAGTTGGATAAAAATATAATTATGGAACAGGAGTTAAAGCAACAGTTATCATCACCTGCACATACATCTACATCAGATCAAACTTTAGAAGAACAGGATCCATCTTTAGATACCGCACAAAATATAGTTTGCATGTTCAGGAAAGCTAATAAGCTTGGTCAAGAAGCAATTTTATACTGGTGCTACTTTATAGAAAAATATGACAAAAGGATTGATAACCTTGTTGTTGGTGGAGTTAAGAAAAAAACTGCAACATCTATGGTATATCAAGAAATCAAACAGCTTTTACCTGATATAACAGATGTGAATTTGCGACAAAAAATTCTTAGAGCTAGAAAATTATATAAGTTATTCAATACATTAGGAATAGAGAAAATTAAACAGGTCTCTTATAGTGCAGATGCTATTTCGAGCCTCAGTTACCCACAAATACAAAATATTATAAATCATGTGAGTTCAGTGATAAGTTCACACAATGAAACCATGAAGATTCTTCATGATCAAAGTCATATGACTTCAAAAATTAATCCGGCTAATGCATATATTCCTCTAAAAGCTAAGGTAAGTACATCAGAAAATGTATTATCTGCATTCCAATCTAATCCAACTTATGACTACACCTATTTTCGCAACAAGACGTTAGACCAATATCCTACTTTATATAGAGAATTTAGTAGCGAAAATTTTGATTATTATGGCATTACCGATGAGACATCATGCGAGGATTATATCTGCCCATTATGCAAATTAGGTCATGATGATAAAGAAATAGAAGGTAGATATAAAACTGGTTCCTATTTTAAATGTGAACAGCGCAAAATTGAGATAGTTGCATAGTCTCATTGCTTTACAATAGTCTGGGTAACTCTTTGGGTAAAATCTTTTTTTCGAACAAATAGGTCTATATGAAAAAAAAGAAATTTAAATTGACTTGCAACCATATAAATTAAGATATATCCAAGACTAATAAAATACTAACCTCTGAATATCTGGATTGGCATGCCAAATTAAGTGAGTTACCAACACTGGTCAGAATAGTCCATTTCGGCAAAATTTTAAATTGCTGAATGTTAGACGAAATTCAGTCTGACATTAGCCGATCAGTACCAAAAAAATCAGCAACTAATTTTATGGATGATTTGCACCGTAACGCCTGCCACTCGCAATTAGAAATTGGCAAAGTTTTGGAATTAGTTAAAAAAATCGGCTGTACATATCAATAAAATTCGAACCTGCCATGCAAATGAAATTCGTCATAAATAATCAACTATTCGTTTAAAAATCGATATTGATTTAATTTGCCGATTTGCAAAAATAAATAAAATCGACCATAATAATTTTAACGAAATTTAGCAAATTTAAGTTTTAAAACTGATTTTATTTTGATTGATTTACCAATTATTTTAATTAAATCAATTAAATCACAAAAATTTCTTACAAAAATAATACTAAAATAATACGAAAATAATAAAAATTTCCTACAACAATAATACTAAAATAATACGAAAATAATACTAAAATAATAAAAATTTCCTACAAAAATAATACGAAAATAATATGAAAATAACACTAAAATAATAAAAATTTTCTACAAAAATAATACTAAAATAATACGAAAATAATAAAAATTTTCTACAACAATAATACTAAAATAATACGAAAATAATATTAAAATAATAAAAATTTCCTACGAAAATAATACGAAAATAATATGAAAATAACACTAAAATAATAAAAATTTTTTACGAAAATAATACTAAAATAATACAAAAATAATAAAAATTTCTTACAACAATAATACAAAAATAATACGTAAATAATACATAAACAATATGAAAATAATACGAAATAATACTAAATTAATAAAAATTTCCTACGAAAATAATACTAAAATAATACGAAAATAATAAAAATTTCCTACAATAATAATACAAAAATAATACGTAAATAATACATAAACAATACGAAAATAATATGANGAAATAATACTAAATTAATAAAAATTTCCTACGAAAATAAAAAAATTCAATCCACAATTCCACAAAAAATCCCATAATTTTCAAAAAAAATCCAAAAAAAACTGACGAATTCACAATCTAAAATTTGAAAATAAAAGTTAGTATAATAAAAACTCAAACAAAAATTAAAGTACAAATTTATACCATTTGTCTGTTTCATCTTCTGTTTCTAGCGATTCTTCCACTCCCATTGGTTCCGATTCTTCCATTCCCATTGGTTCCAATTCTTTTATTCCCGTTAGTTCTGAATCTTCTATTACCACTATTTCATCCATCTCGGCCAACACTTCCGCATCTTCCGCTATTATTAGATTCTCCATCATTTGAATCGGCGTCTCCGGCTCAGAAAAGTTGGTATCGGCCAGCGTATTCTGCTCCACATAGGTCCAATTTGAAGCACCTCATGGATGACGAGAGACAATATTATATATATCATCATCATAATTTCGTGTTCGTATCAATTGTGCAGATTGAAGAGAGAAAGCGTGTTGGTCCAGGACATTTAGTAATAAATCCATTAACTATTATTAGAAAAAAAATCAATCCTATTACGAAAAAAATAAAACAAATAAAAAATAAAAAATAAAAAATGCGACAAATAAGTTATCGAACCTCTTCAGATCTCCAAGATGGATTATAAACATTGATATGTCTTTTACCGTCTGGTTGCTCCTCATCTGATTCAGAATACTCTGGAGAGTGATATCGGTTGTCATTTAAAACATTCAAAAGTTCTTTTCGATCATAATTCTCCAGTTTTTCGTCATTCTTGTCGAAAAGTGATTTTGCGCCTTTAACTCGACATGCCTTTTTCTATATTTAAAGTTTCGACGGATGATGAGATTTTTTTTTTGAAATAATAAAGAAATTATTTACCTCATTTAACCGATTATTTCGATGTAGACGGTGATTATCTTTGTCTAAAGTGTCGCATTGTTTATATAACAAGCGCACTCTGCAATATTTATGTAAAGCGGAGAGCCAAGACTTGACTTGCCTGTATCGTGGAGTATACCTTGGCTTCATCGCTTCAATTAGTCAAGGTATAACTTGTCGAAGAATTTTATCATTCGACTCACTGGTAAACTTTTCATTGTATTTTAATTCTAGTTCAATCAGAAAAGTTTTTAGAATCATCTTCATCTCGGCCTAAATTGTACAAAATATCAGTTTAGCGAGCGTTAAAAGCATACATTGAAAGAGGATTTTTGGACGAACTAAAGCTTCTTCTTCATCTACTTCCATTTCATCTTCAGAATCGCGCACAAGATTTTTTTCTTTCTTACGCTTTGTTGGTCATTGATCCTCTTCAAATTCGATATCTTGAAGGTCAGATGAATATCAGTGACGCAAGCTGTCATTTTCCTGACTAAGTATATTATTATACGATTGTAATTGGCCAACGTCTAGCCATAGGTCACGCAACTCACCATTTGCATTATCGAGTTACTGATTTAATTCATCGATTCTTCCCTGTAAGTAAACATTTTCTTCTCAGAGATCATACGTTTCTAAAAAAACGTTAAAGTCGACCAGAACTCTAAAATGAATACAAAAGTCAATTGTAGCTCACCATTTACATCTCTAGTCCAATTACTACTAAAAGGTTCACGTATAATTGGCGCTAATTCTCTCCTATATAATTTGGCGGTGCGTACATTGCTCCTATACGGTTCAGCGATGTGTACATTGCTCCTATACGGTTCGGCTGTGCGTGTAATGGACATTAATTCGCTATGTATGATTACATTACGAATTGGTGGTACCATCCTGCTTTGTTGCGAGTACAAGCTGGATGGTACCACTAAGCGAAATGGCCCATTATCTTCTGAAACTTTTGGTATCGACATTTGTTTTTGAGTTTTGGTAGAACCAGAACCGGAAGCTGCGGATTTCTGTTTTGACGTTTGTTTTTGAGTTTTGGTAGAACTGAAACCGGAAGCTGCGGATTTCTGTTTCGATGCTTGTTTTTAAGTTTTGATAAAACTGGAACCGGAAGCTGCAGATTTATTTCGACGCTTGTTTTTGAGTTTTGATAGAACCAGAACCGGAAGCTGCGGATTGTTGTTTTGATATTGACGTTTGTTTGGGAGAATCAGAACTTACAAATTCCTGTGAAGAAGTTTGTTTGTGAGACTCTTGTCGACTTTTTTCGACACTTTTTTTTCCAGATCATTTCATTTCTTATAGAAATTTTAATAAACAGAAGAATAGTAAAATTAGTAAATAAAGTAGAACTTTCTTTCAAAATGACGAAAAATATTGTTTGATTTATATAAAAGTTACGTTTGATGATCAATATAAAAATGTATTGCAGATTTTATAAAAATTTTATAAAAATTACGAGAATTGTTTATCGAAAAAATAAAATTATTTTTGCGAAAAAAATTTGATTGATGGCTTTATAAATTCAAAATTCAAAATAAGCTTTTCTGGAAAAAAGTCTATTTGATAAAAATAAAACCGAAATTTGATTTAAAAGTTAATTAATCGTTAAAAAAAGTTTAATCAAAATTAGACTTTTATTACTTTTATCAAATCAATTACTAACAGATCAAATTTAACCAAAATTTTCAAACTAAAAAAAATTCTCATGATTGAAAATTTAATTAATCGAAATCTCGAAATTAAACTTTTATTAAATCAATTACTAACGGATCAAATTTAATCGAAATTTTCAAATTAAAAAAAAAAATTCCATAAAATTTTAATTTTCAAGAGAAAAATTGACTTCATTTGTCAAAGTTTCGTTAAATTTTGAAGTACATATTAATTATAACCGATTCTTTATCAAATTTTATAAAATATGACGAGAAGAAGATCGATTAATCAAATTATGAGTTCGGAAAGGATAGCAAACTGACTATCTTCTAGAAGGTTTAGCAAAAAAAGAACCAAAGTCCCTTGTTATTGTGACAAATGTAATGGAAAACTGGTTATAACACGAACCAAAATACTTCACGAAGCGGCAGAAAACACAACTGACTCGAATCTTAATAGTAGTTTGGTTTCATTGTTACTAATTAATCAAGAAGAGAATTCGACAATAACTTCGTTAGAAGAAAATCCGATAAATGAAGATATTTTGGTACCTCCATTAAATGAAGAGATTTCGGTAATAACTCCTTTAGAAGAAGATTCAACAACAATTCCATTAAATGAAAAAGATAATTCAACAACTCCAGAATACAACGAAAATGAATATATTTTTTTACCTTGAAGACGTACAAGAAGCTACGCAAATTGCCCACAAATTATGCTCGAACATTCAGGAACAGAAGATTTGAGCAATTCTGATTATGAACAACATACTGATACTTCTTCTTCTGATGGCAATGAGTCAGATGATGAAACTTTTGCCGATACTTTTGAAAATTATTCACCGCCAGATTTTAAATTATATCAAGAGGAAGAAAAAACGACAATCGATGATAAATTTTCATGGATTTTATTGTGGATAATGACCTTTCGAAAAAAGTTCAATCTCCCTGAAACAGCGACCGAATCTCAACTAAAATTCATGAAAATAGTGTTAAAAGAAATCAGTGGAGACATTTACGATAGCTTTCCTGACTTTCTATATCTGGCAAGAATTCAACTTGGCCTGAAAGATCATTTCCATAGTTTCGTGCCATGTCTGAAATGTCATAAATTATATAATAAGACAGACATGGACGAAATTCAAAAAAATGACAGTATCGGTATCATAAGATGCACACCGGTCAAATGATGAGGTATCAGTCAGATTTCATATACCTGATATCTGTACAATATATCATGTATAGTGGTCTGATATGTCAACGATTTGCTATACCGATATCTCACCTATGTCTGGAACAAATAGGTTACATAAAAGTTACATATCGGGTTGTTGCATATCATACTCATATCGTATAAATTTCATAATCATATCGGTATCTTGATATTTCAATGATATTTATATTATCAAAACCCAGTAAGAAAAATCGCATACTGAAAATATACTGAAAATATACTGAATTTTAAGAATATTTAACTATATAATCATGTATATTATAAGTATAAATTAAATATAATTTTAGTATATTTTATGTAAGATATTTATATCCATAAATAATGCTAAAATTATGTTTAAATATACTGTATTTAATATGTAAAAAGCTCATAAAACACCCTTAAATTTTGCCTCTTTAAGTATATTTTAAGTGCAAATTTTATGTCATTAATTTCTACTTAATTTCAGGATAATTTTATTTCGTGTTATTATATATATTTAAGTATATTTAAAGCCCATTTTCAGTGTATTATAAATATGATTCAATTGTATTTTGCATATATTTTAATAATATTTCAATTAGAAATAACATATATTTTTAGTAGTTTTAAAGGTCAATTTAGTTCAA